TCCAATTGTACGGTAGTTATTTTTGACCGCTTTATGGCTGGTTGCGTTGTAAACAAACTCAGAATATTTTTTTAAAGCTATAATCACTGCGCAATTAATTGCGTAATTTTTTATTATGATGATTAAATGCCATATTTTTTTATTTTAATACTTTAAGAAAAAAAAACCCTTGTAAAATATTAATTAATTAACTTTTTTATGCATCGGTCAACTAATTGGTGACCGGTCAACAACTGGTGCATTTACCCTACATAAAATTAGTGTCAGATTTTTTAATTGTAGAAAAAAAAATTAGTTGTTTAATTAAATATCTCGGAAAATATTGACAAGTTATCGAGACAAATTAATAGAATTATGTTGGGGATTTAATAACGAATTGAATGGATTTTTTTTCGAATTTCTATGACTATTTGTTGCTAAATTGTTAATTATCGTAGCGCAAAAAAAGAGAAAACGAAAAATTTGGGCCCCACGCGGATTAATGAAAAAAAAATTGGCAATTAGGAAAAAGTTTTTTTAAATTCTAATTTCAAAAATCAAAAGTCCGCTTCAGTTGTAAAAAGAAGTCGAAGAACTCAAGAAATAGAAAATTTTGAACTGGATGAATTTTTTCAACTATATATGAGACATTCCATCCCAAATCGACCACTTTTGACCCCGACCCTTTTCGATTATTCTAAAATTTTGTATCTTTCTCTACCCTATTGAAAACAGTTTTCAGAATTTTTTCAAATTTATTTATCGAACCAAAAAAAAGTTATTAACGAGTTATTTAAAAAAATACCTTCTATCTGTTAAGTAACTATAACTTTTTTGAAAATTAACTTATTAGTATTTTTATTTCTTTGAATTTTTTTTTTTTAAACGTACTTTTAAGAAAAAAAAAAGAAAATAATAATAATAATTCGGATTTATATTGTGTTTTGGTTGAAAATATTAAAAAAAAAAAACGATAATTTTGGGACAGTTGTCATTTTTGATTTTCGATTTTTTTTTAAACCAGTATTTTTTGCGAATTTCCTGAAATTTTCAGAGTGGCATTTTTGTTCTTTCTATTTTTTTTTTTTTTAATGAAAAAACTAAGTTACGTAAGCTATTTACGTATGAGGTGATTTTTACACTAATAGAAGAATTTTTTTTATATTAAATAAGCTTTATTAACGGTTAATAAATGATTTTTCAACATCATAAGATTTGATAAATATTTATTAACAGTTAACAAATGTATTTATTGAAAAAAAAAATAAAAAGCAAAATTGGCAATTTTCTTTTGACACTTTATATAACATTAAATAAATTAACGTTTTTAATATTTAAAGAATTTGGTATTTTACAATAAACGATATTATAATATAATATAATATATTAACTATTAATAAATATACTTTCCTCCCAAATAAATATTTAATGAATGTTAAAAAGTATTTATTAATATTTAATAAATTAAATAATTGTCTTTTGAATAAATTAAATTCTTTATAGATAATAAATCCTTCTATCAGTGTATTTATGTAAAAGATAATACGATTTTTATGGAATTAATGATCATTAGACATTTATATCTTTTCGGCTTCATGAATAAAAGAAAGTTGAACTAAAGTAAAATTTCCATAGACTTCTTTTCATACCTAACTACCAAAATATTACAATGACATTAAAGGTGTATTATTTTATTATATTCTTTAAAGTATTGAATTCGAAGAGCCATTATTTATTTCTTGGATTTGAGTAAATATCTGCACTTAAGATCTCATTAAGAGTGCATAAAAACTAATTGTAAATTTTAAAGAAATAGCAATTAGCCTTAATGGATTCTTTAATGACTTGGTGAATTTTGCTAATTTTTACCTGGCTAAGGTTCGCTCAAGTTGTAGACTCCCCACTCCTTTTCCCTCTGACTAAACAATAGTAAAAGAACCAATGACAAACGTTTATTACCGGAGGAAGGAGTAAGACCCTAATGAATTTTTGAAAGAAGGGAGCCTCAAGAGTTTACTTTGTGAATCGCTTCAAGAACTCAAATCATTCTTACGACAAAGTTTGAAGTGCAACTATCTGCAAATCAAAACCAAATTTTTCTAAGTTTTACATACACTTGTGTATTATTCAATTACTCAAACCGAAAAATGGCAGTGAACAGTTGTGATTTGAAAATGATTGAGATGTCAGTGAAATACGGATATTTGGACATCAACTCGGTATTTCCTTGTGATCAGTACCGAGAAATAAGTGTGCTCCAGTTCGCCATCATGAACTCGGGCGAAGAACTCATCGATTTTCTATTGAAGAACAACGTAGAGTTGAATATTAGCACTGTCTTCTTGGGAACGGCGCTCCACGTGGCCATCAAGGAGAAGAACCTTGAAGTAGTGAAGAAGTTAGTTTTTTCTGGAGCTGACGTCAACGTAAGGCCAAGTAATTATGAGAGATTACCACCACTCCACCGTGCCATTCAATGTGGTGATTACGAGATCACCGAGTTCCTGGTGATGTCAGGAGCAAACGTAAGCGTCTCGGCCTACAAAGAGGCGTCAATAACGGGTTGCTATCACTGGTCTCCTTTGAATATAGCAATTTCGAAAAAGGACATCCGTGTGATTCAATTGTTGTTAAAGAACAACGCCACCATCGATCAAGGATCATACGGGGTGAAATCTTCCCTTCACTTGGCTGCAAGTACCGGCAGCATTGAGATTCTCCAAGTCCTGGAAAACTTTGGAGCGAAGTTCAACATCATCAAAGATGGAGAATACACGGTGGAGTTTGAAGAAGCCATGCGTCAGGACAACATCGACATTTTGAAGCTATTTGTTAAAAATTGCTCTAATTTTTTGGAAATTTCCGATTTGTGTGGTGAAACTGTGGCTCGCCAGGCTATTATCTTAGGCAGTCAAAATATTTTAAATTATTTACTGGACTGCGGGGTAGACATTAATGTGGTCAACAACGACGAGTCAAGTTTGCTTGACATTGCCATGGAAATGAATATCCACCTTGCTGACCTGACCTTCAATCAAGAGCGGCAGGATCCATCTTCGGCAATGATCAAGGCAATTCAAGGTCACATTATCAAGCTATCTGCAGCCGGTGAATTTGTCACTGAAAAATATTTAAAAGCTGTGACTGGCGAGCAGTTTCAATCATTTCGTGACAAGTGCGAAAAGGAAATCGGTGAAATGAAAACCCGAAAAATTAGAAACTTGAATTTTAATTATTTTAGTGTATTTAAGAAGAATGTACATAAATTAGCTGTAGGTTTAACAAATCTAGATTGTATAGATAAGGATGAAATATTAGCCGAATTTCCAGTATATGGTGGCTATATATTTGCAAAATTAAGAAGAGCATTTGATAGAAAAGAGCTGCTCAAAAATGCAGAAGTTTTGTATGATATTTTTTATATGGATTTACCTTCCTTAGTTGTAAGAGATATTTTCAATTATTTGAGTGATTTTGATTTAAGATTGTTCTCTGAATAATTGTATAATATGTATAAATAATATTGTAAATATATAAATATATTCTAGATTAAGTATTTTTAATTTGTTTTATGTATATAATAAAAATTGCCTATTTAATCATAATTATTATAATTTTTTTATCCTTTCAACTTTAAAAATTTTTTTTTACAATTTAAGTACTAAAAAAAAAATTGTCAAATTTTCTAAAATAAAAAAAATTTTTTTTTTTCAATTAAATAAAAAAAATATAAAAGAAATTCGGCCTTTTCCGGACTGCGCGAGAATAGTTGTTAAATTGATTGAAGTATTTTTTGAGAAATAAAAATAAAAAAAAAAATGACGTACTATGAAAAAATGACGATTTTACCCAAAAAAAAAACGGATATTTTTCTGAGTTTATCGTATTTAATTTTTTTTTGTGTATTTTTTTAAAAAGTACATTCAAAAACGAAAAAAAAAAAAGGTACCCAAAGGTCAATATCAAAAAAAGTTATTATATGGCTGTTTGAAAATAAAAAAGCCATTTTTTTAAAAAATTCATAACTTTTTTTCCGTTGGACAAAGAAATTTAAAAAAAAATTCTCAAAAATGTGTTTCAAAGTGTAGAAAAAAAATGATGAAGTTTCAGCTAAATACCCCATATATAAGTCATATTCTATACGAACTACAGCCTGTCAAAAATCATTAAATAAATCGAAAATATTATCTGCTTTTTCAAAATTTTAGCGACGTGTCTTCTTATTATAATTTTTATTAATCAAGTTTCATTTTAAAATTTGAATTTCGTTTACTACACCTCTGTAATTGCGTGTATTTGCATGATTTTATAACTTTTAATTTTTTATTTTGATTTTTCCCGATAAAAAAAAATATGGTTTTTGTATCATTTCGAGCTCTCCGAGCTCAAAACTCTAATAGCAGTTTAATAAAACACAATTTTCCGAATTTTCAAACCGCAATAGAACATCAAAACGTCGAGATATGATGAGAACTCGATTTTCGAGAAACAGGGTAAAGCCAATAACTCCCCGATTTTTTAAAATTTTTAATTTTCTTAGTGGGAAGTTGAAAAAATACACCATTAAATATGTAATTATTAATTTTGACAGCCGCACCGACAATGGAGCCATCAGCGGCAGAACTCAATAATGTATATGAAGGCGATACACTGACTATTAAATGCACCAGTAACACAGATTTACAATTTTTTACTGCGTTAGATGAGCCTGTAAGTAATTTTTTATAATAATTAATAACAATAATTAACAGCATTATATAACATAATAATTATTTTAAAAAACTAATCTTAAAATAGAGCGAACAGTCTCTGGCAATTATGGAAGTAGGAAGGTCAGATTGGTCATACATGCGCGGTATTAGAAAAACAGCATCCGTTGGTGACAATGGATGGTATGGCTGCGCGAATACTGGTGTCAAAGTTAACACAAGTAAACATGACCAACCGGATGTCACTTGGGTTTACGTCAAAATAAAATGTAAATTTTTTAAACTAAATTTGATTAAATTTGATTTAAGTTGTTAAAAAATGGCTTAAACAAATTTTTCAGCCAAAAAACCATCGATGGAACCAGCAGGAAAAATTTTAAAGCTGACTGAAGGCGACACATTGACAATAAAATGCTCCAGTAATCAAGAAATGAAGTTTTACTCAGACTTGCACCATCCTGTAAGTAGTTTTTAATTTATAAGATAAGTAGATTGATAATAATTAGAATTTTGTTGATAATTTTAAAGGAAAAAGCTACCAAAAGCAGAGAAATGGCTACAGCAGTAGGCGGAGGTGAATTTACACACACTTTGGAGAAGAAAAAAGTTGTTCCAGAAGACAGTGGACATTATGGTTGCGTCAATAAAGACATTGAAGTTACTCCCGAGAATCTTATGACTCGACCAGAAATTAGATGGCTTTACGTCAACGTGAAACGTAAGTAGTTTCTAATTTATTTTTTTAAATGATTTAATCTAAATTATTGATAATCTATATTATTAAGAAAATAAGCTGGCCAGGATAGTCATATGATAAAATCAGTTTTTTTAGTGAAATTTAATGTTATTGCAAAAGTCTTGACTTGAATTTATGCCTTTTCAAGATTTCATATCATTCTTAACCGATAGTCGATTTATTATGATAAGTATTCAGGCTTCATTCGAAAATGCTCTATCTCTAGATACATAATTAAGAAATGACTTTGTATCGTGTGAACTATTGATATTTTTAAAGATATAAGCTCATCCCGGTGTTACACTCATCAAGACCTTTCATTTAAGTACCCACATCATTTTTTCATATATTTATATATATTATATATATATTTATTAGGGTAAAATATATCAAAAATGCATGTGGGTACTCAAATGAAAGCTCTTGATAAGTGTAACATCAGGATGAGCTTATATCCTTAAAAATGTCAATAGTTCACAAGATACAAGATCATTTTTTAATTATTGACATTATTTAAAATATAAGCTCATCCTGATGTTACACTCATCAAGAGCTTTCACTTGAGTACCCACTTGCATTTTTTATATATTTTTCATATATGGTATTTGTGAAATATATATAATATATAAAATATATAAAAAATTGAT